ACCTAAATATATAAAGCACACATTGACAGACATAAAGGGAGAGATCAACAGTAATACAGTCATAGTAGGGGACTCTAACACCCTACTGACATCAATAGGTAGGTCTTTCAGACATAAAATCAACAAGGAAACAGCAGTCTCAACTGACACATTAGAACAGATGGATTTAATTGATGATATGTTTAGAGTATTTCATCCCAAAGCAGCAGAATACACATTCTTTTCAAGTGCACATGAAACGTTTTCCAGGACAGACCACATGTTAGGACACAAAACAAGTCTCAATAAATTTAAGAAGATTTAAATCATATCAAACATCTTCTCCTATCATAATGATATGAAACTAGAAATGAGTTACAAGAATAAAACTGAAAACCACACAAACACGTGGAGGCTAAATAACATGTTGCTAAACAATGAATAAGTTAACAGTGAGATCAAGAAAGAAATCAAAAGACAACTTAAGACAAATGAAAATGAAAACCAAACAACCCAGAATCTATGGGAAACAACAAAAGCTCTTCTAAGAGGGAAATTCACAGTAATACAGGCCTACCTCAAGAAAAACAATCTAACCTTATACCTAATGTACTAGTCTAACATTACCCTGACGTCAAAACCAGACAAAGGCATTACAAAAAATGAAAATTATAAGCCAATATCCCTGATAAACATAAGAAAAAATCCTCAACAATATACTTGCAAACAGCAGTACATTAAAAAGACCATACAACATGATCAAGTGGGATTTATCCTTGGGATGCAAGGTTGGTTCAATATCTGCAAATCAATTAACATCATATAACATATAAACAAAATGAAGGATAAAATCTTAGGTCATATCAATATGTGCAGAAAAAGCATTTGACAAAAGCCAGTATCCATTTATGATAAAAATTCTCAGCAAAGTAGAAATAAAGGGAACATGCCCCAACATACATGACAAATCCATAACAAACCTCATACTGAATGGGGAAAAGCCAAAAACATTTTTTTTTGGTAAGATAAAAAACAAGAAAAGGATGTCCACTTGCACCACTTTTATTCAATATAGTATTGGAAGTCCTAGCCACAGCAATCAGACAAGAAAAATATATAAAAGGCATCCAAATTGGAAAGAAGCGAAACTGTCATTATTTGCAGATGACATGGTATTATATAGCAAGAACACTAAAGATTCCACCAAAGAAACTGCTAGAACTGATAAATGGATTCAGTAAAGTAGCAGAATACAAAATAGATACTCAAAAATTGGCTGTATTTTTATAGACTAATAATGAACTATTAGAAAAAATGATCCCATTTACAACTGCATAAAAAAAAAATAAAATACTTAAGAATAAATTTAAACCAAAGAATTAAAAGACCTGTACTCATTGCTCTCTGTCTCTGGAGCATGCCCAAACCTTTCTTCCTTCTCAGGTGTGCATCTTTACTTTTTTCTCCTAAACTCTAAGGGCCCCCACAAGATTTGAAACCAGGGAAGGAATGGGCAGCAGCAGCTTGTCCTGGGTTAACCCCTTGAACCAAGGCTCCCTTTCCTCTGACTCTCCAGTGAGCTGACAGCAGCTGCACCGTGGCTCACTTCTTTCCTATAAGGTTTCTAGAAAGCCAAAGCAGAGCCCTACCTAGGCTCTCTCCTGTAACTTCTATCCTAAGCCCTTCCTTGTTTCACTGTCCCCTGCTTTAATAAACATACTTTTTTTTTTTTTTAAAGGACCTGTAGTCAGAAATTATAAGACATTAAAGAAAGGAATCAAAGAAGATACAAATAAATGGAAGCATATACCATACTCATGGATAGGAAGAATTAACATCATTAAAATGTCCTAGAGAGATTCAGTGCATTTTCTATCAAAATAACAATGGCATTTTTCACAGAACTAGAACAAGTATTCCAAAAATTTATACAGAACCACACACACACACAAAAAAAACCCAGACAGCAATCTGTGTGTGTGTGTGTGTGTGGGGGGGGTATCATGCTACCTGATATCAAACTATACTACAGGGCTATAGTAATCAATCAGCATGGTAGTGGCATAAAAACAGATACATAGGTCAATGGAACAGAATAGAAAAACCAGAAATAAATCTACACCTACATGGTCAATTAATCTATGATAAATGAGGCAAGAATATATAATGGTGTAAAGACAGTGTCTTCAATAAATGGTGTTGGGAAAACTGGACAGATACATGCAAAAAATGAAACTAGATCACTTTCTTATACTATATACAAGAATAAACTAAAAATAAATTAAAGACAAATATAAAACCTGAAACCAAAAAACTCCTGGAAGAAAACATTGGCAATAAGCTCTTTGACATCACTCTTAGTAATATTATTTTGGATATATCTCCTTGGGCAAAAGAAACAAAAGGAAAAAAAATAAACAAATGGGACTACATCAAACTAAAAAGTTTCAGCACAGCAAAGGAAACCATCAACAAAATGAAAAGACTACCTACTCATTGGGTGAATATATTTGCCAATGATACATCTGATAAGGGATTAATATCCAAAATACAGAAAGAACTCATACAATTTAACAACCAAAAAACCCAAAATACAAACAATCCAAATAAAAATGAGAATAAAACTTGAATAGATGCTTCTCCAAAGAGGACATACAGATAGCCAAGAGACATATGGAAAGATGCTCAATGTCACTAAGCATCAAAGAAATGCAATTAAAATCACCTCACGTTACTGGACAGGGATCAGCCTGGAGCAGGTCTACCTCAGGCCAGCCTATAGTGTGTGGGTTCTTGATTTCATATAGGAAAGATTTCACAAAATGAGTCAAGGTGATTGTGAGAGTATGTTTATTAAAGTTGCGGACAGTGAAAAAGGGGGTTTAGGGTAGAAGCAGCAACAGGAGAGAGAGATCCCAGGCAGTGTTCTGCTTTGGCTCTCTAGAAACATTATAGGAAAGTGAGCCAAAGTGGGGCTGCTTTTAGCTCACTGGAAAGTCAGAGAAAAGGAGGGCCTTGGAGACAGGATCAGGGGGTAAGCCCAGGTCAAGCTGCCACTGCCCACTGCTACCCTGGTTATAAGTCTCATCGGACCCTTACAGTTTAGGAACAAATAAAAAGTTCATGCTTGGGAAGGGGCATGGTCGTGTTCTAGAGGGAGCCTGACTTGAGTCTTTGTTTTGAAGTCTTTTTACTTATTTTTTTTCTTTAAGGTCCAGAATCTTAGAGAAGGGTTTCAAGAGACTATTCATCAGCTTTCCAGGTGCGTTTTTAATATGCTGATGCATCAAAATGAACATATATAGAGAAATCTGGGATTATTCTTTGGTCTGTTTTACTTTTTATCTTGGGTCTGTCTGGCTCTAATTTGGTTTTTGTTATTTGTTCCCCTGACTTCATCTGTCCTTGGGTTTAGCTGGCACAAATGGCATTAAATGGGTCTTGTTACCTGTCTCCCAGACCAGGGTGATTTAAGTTATGTATTCTCTCATTAGGGAGGAGGGGTATAAACCATTTGCTTTCAGGTGTCCTTGGTTAGGGGAGATAAGATCACTTGATTCACAAGCTGGCTGCAAGTTGTTCAAATTGCTTGGCCTTATTTAATTTTCTTGTCTCAGTTTCCCCATTACACTTGCCCGTCCAGGAATTTTCCTAGAGTCTTACTCTCCTGCCACAAGAGGATCCTGCCAACTCCAAGAAAGCCTTTGTTGGTGTGCAAAGCTGGCCAGTTAATTGCACACAGTGCAGGCACAGCAAGTCTGCTGAGTTTAATCTTGGGCACCACGGATTTGAAGCACCAGTGAGTATCTAAAAGCTGTCGGCGCCGGCGCGGCTCAGTTCCATTCCCGGGGCAGCCGGGGCTGCGCGCTCGGGCCCAGCAGGGGGCGTGCGGGAGGCAGCGCGTCCCTGACTCTCCTCACTGACGCTCCTCTCTCCCTCTCCCTCCCTCCCTCTGAAACCAGTAAAGACATATTTTTTTAAAAAAAAGTAACTCCCGAAGGCCAAGACAAAGCAGCACCCACTCCTAATCAGCCCAGTTGCGGTCCCGCTCTTTCCGGGGGCGGGACTGGGACACCCCGCCTCTGCCTGAGCACTGACCAATCGCCGCCTCAGGAGGCCCGCTGCCCCGCCCCGCCCCCTCCCTGGGAAAGGAAGTCTGGGCGCCGTTCAAACGGGAGTCCTCGCCCATTGGCGGAGGCCTCGCGCTCCCGCCTCTCGGCTCTGGCCTCGCCCCTCCGCACGCAAGATGGCGGCGCGCAGAGGAGCGGAGGCTGCGGGCGGGCTGGGCCGAGGCTGACTCCCTTTCCCGCTCCCGTTCTGGGCGCAGAGCCCGCGAGTCTAGGGGACG